GGAAACCCCAGGGGAATTTCCCCCTAATTCCAATCCCTGGTGCTTTAACCTGCAGAGTAGGGAACCTCCCCCTCCTGTATCAGCTGGGGGTTTGTTGATCCCCAAACAAGAGGCTCATACATTTGGGAGGAACCCCAGCAGTAAGCAGCCTGCTCCTCCATCAAGTGCTGGAAACCCTCCATGGAAACCATGGAAGATAAAGACGATCGTCCACGTGCTCCTTGGACTGCTGTGGGGACAGCAGGCTCACGTTTTGGAAGGGACCCTTGCCATTGTTGGAAAGCTTTTCTGCTTCCACCCATTGTTTCTACTTTTGGAACCAAACAGATGAGACTTCCTGAGTGCATAACTGAAAACTGCCAAATATAATAGAGTTTTCAAATATTTCTTCTTTCCAAGATGTTCAAAGGGTTTTTAAAGACACAAAATCATTGACTCTTGGGAAGAACTGAAAATACCTTTGCTCAAAAATGTTTATTGAATGAAACTGAATATAGTTCCTTTTCCAGCTTTCCAACATGAGAGCACTCAGGTTACACTCTGTAAAGGGAATCATTTTATTTCTTTATGGGAGGAAACTCCATGATCCTCCGTGGCTGCACGGATCTCTAAAATGCATCCTGAGATCTAAACTGAACCCCTAAAAAGCCAAAGTGCTTCCTCTGGTCCCAGTCCATTCCCCACTCTCACTTCTTAAAATAGGCATTAAGATGGTACCATCTGGTCCTTTATGCATATGGTCTTATTTAAGTCACACAGAAACTCTAGGTAGGTGGAAAGAGGCCCACTTTCTTTTTTTTTTTTAATATTTATTTTTTAGTTGTAGTTGGATACAGTACCTTTATTTTACTGATTTATTTTTATATGGTGCTGAGGATTGAACCCAGGGCCTCGCATGTGCTAGGCGAGCACTCTACTGTTGAGCCACATCCCCAGCCCTTTTCTTTTTTTTAATTGAACTCAGGGGCACTTTATTACTGAACCACATCCCCAGCCCTTTTGAAACAGGGTCTCTAAGGTGATGAAGCTGGCTTCAAACTTACGATTCTCCTGCCTCAGCCTCCTGAGTCTCTGGAACAGAGTGTGCACCCCCACACCCAGCAAGAGTTCCACTTACAGCACGAGAAACTCCAAATCAGAGGAGTTTGCTAACTTGTCCTAAATCCCATGATACTAAGTGGCAAAGCCAAAATTCAAAGCCAACTTCAAAAACTCAGTCTTTTTTTGCCACAATCCAGTGCTTCTATGATAGTTGATCATTTCCACCGACCTTATCCTGTCCCTGGCATGGGCAGAAATGACTATTCTGTCAGAAACACAGGAGAGAGACAGACAGCAGACGGCAGCCCTACATGGCCTCACCAGATTCCACTCTCCTGAGCCATTCACACCTTCCTGGGATGGAGGAGTAAGACCAGAGACCATCCAAAGTCAGGATGCCAGCGTCCCAGAGACACCCAGGGGCAGCGTGGCCTCTCCCTAGCTCCTGCGTGGTGCTCACCCTGAGTCTTCCCACAGCCTGCCTTTGCAGGGCCTGCTCTGGGCCTCACAGTGGGGCTGTGGCCCATGAAGCACGGCATTATTTGAGTAGCACAAACACAAGACTTGCCTGGGTTCTGGCACCCTTTCTGGGCAGCCCTGCTTTGGGTAAATATTTGGCTGGGACAAGCCAGGAGAAGCCCAGGGAGGCATGATGGGGGACACTTTGCCCCACATCCCAAGAGCCCAAAGCTGAGGATGACGGGCTAGAAAGTGCTGGGGGTTGGCACAAAGAACCACCAACTCAAGTTCCCCTGCCAACAGCAGAGTATGCCCGGCATCCATGTGCCTCTGGGAAACTCTGGGTCATCTGCAGCAGGGCCTCCAGTCTATTCTTCAAAACTCAGAATGGTTCCTAACTGTCATCTGCTGGAGTTCTGAATTTTTTAAAAAAATGTTTTTTTAGTTTTTAGTGGACCTTTATTTTATTTATTTAAATGTGGTGCTGAGAATCGAAGCCAGTGCCTCACACATGCCAGGCAAGTGCGCCATGGCTGAACCCCAGCCCCAGCCCTGGGGTTCTGAATGTCAGGGACACATTCCACACAACTACCCAAGCTCGCCGCCTCCCTCTCCTTCCAACCTCACTTGCAGGGAGCTGGACAAACTCCTGGTTGCCTTCCATCCGGGCCTGCCCATATCCCGAAGCACACGCGTTGCCGGGCTCCTGGCTCAGTGAATCCCGGGGCACAGGAGATGACGTCCCCCATTTCTCTAAAGGACAAACCACAGCCAGGGGTCTGGAGCTCACAAAGCAAGTTAAAGGCTGGAGACAGAAATAGGACCTGGGCCCACTGCTTCTCTTCTGGGTCACTAGGGTGAATGACCCTCTCACCCTCCTTCGTGGTCCACAGTCTGCATGGCCCGAGGAAATCACACCATGCTTCACCTCCATGCCCCTCGGGCTCCAGTGGCCTGTCCTGGAGACCTCCGTCTGTCACTCTGAAGCTATCTACCCTTTTATCTGTCATCTCCCTGGGAGACGTGGTCATTAGCACAGAATACCATGTAGGTGTCTAATTAAGCAATTGGCAGCAAATGCAGAAACCTGTTCAAGCCACCCCACTGAGCGTCCACCCAGGGGATCCTCTTACAGGCAACTCCCTCCCCCAAGCTTCCTGGAAAGGTCCCTTTTGTTTGTCTAGAACACAGAGAAGCGTACCATTCTGCCCTCCTACTCATCTGGTAGCTCAGACTTTCCGGCTTCTACAACCCCGGAGGGTGCTATTCCCGGTAGAGCACATTGTAAACGGTGCCCCGGGAATTACGGGACACAGCAGCCCTGGTGGGTGAGCAAGGGAAGGTCCCTAGACTCTCAGAAGATCAGTCTTCTGAGAGGATGTCCTCTTACCTGGCACCTCAGGTGTCTCAGAGCCCTATCTCACCACCCTGGCATTTGGAGGAGGCCAGGGCACTGGAATCGAGGTGCCCTCAAGCATACTGGCAAGACGAGAGAGGGGGAGGTGGCACTCTCCCCACCTGTGTGGCCCAGCCCTCTGTCTGCACCGGAGCTCACCTGTTCAAGCTTCACCTTTTAAATGGAATGTTCCACTTGCCATGGGAGCCGGGGGTGGGGGAGATTCCCTGCTCAAGGGAAGCCTTCTGTTTTATTAGAGATCAAGGTCTCTGGAATTCCAACCAACCCTCCTGCGAGAGACAAGTGAGGGAAGGGTCCAGGGAAACCACAGAGGAGGCCCCTGAGAGGACAAGATGCTCTCTACCTGGTCACCACTCCCCCTAGCCTGGGACAGTCCAACCCAGCAGACTGGAAGGGAAAAGACAGCTGCTACCGCAGTAGCTCCAGGGAGATCCCACTCTCCAGAGCAGACTGCGGGCGAGACACAGGAAAACCTCTGCACCCCTGCTCTGCGCCCCTTTCCTGGTCTTTCCCCCCCCAGTCCTATCTCGGGGGCTTCCCCCATTTCATCTCCACCTCACAGTGGAGCAGGGGGAGGCTGAGATGGCTGGCTGTCCTGATGCCCGCCAACTTTTCAAAGAGCCAGAAGGCGGGGGTGGGGGGGTGGGGTTTGGGGGGGGCAGCGCCTCAGGGACAAGTCCTGAACTCCGCATTCCACAGGGGCTCCCATCACCCCAACCCACCCCCTGGAGGTCTCAGCACAGAACTCAGGAGCCCCGGAGCTCTGCCAGCTTGGCC